CAAGTCACTGTTCTATTGAGATTTTTAGATTCTTCCTGACTGAGTTTTGGAAGGTTGTATTTTTCTAGGAATATGTCCATTTTCTGCAGGTTGTTCAGTTTGTTGGAATAGAGTTATTCATAGTATTTTGTAACAATCCTTTGCATTTTGGCCGGGTCTGTTGTTATTTCATCTCTTTCATTTCTGATTTTGTTTATTTGAGTCCTCTCTCTTTGTTTCTTGGTTAGCCTGGCTAGCTGTTCATCTATCTTGTTTATCCTTTCAAAGAACCAGGTCTTGGTTTTGTTGATCTTATGTATTGTTTCTTTGGTCTCTATGTTGTTTATCTCTGCTCTAATTTTTCTTATTTCCTTCCTTTTGCTTACACTGGGCTTTTCTTGTTGCTCTTTTTCTAACTATTTGAGTTGTAGAGTTATTTAATTTGTTACCATTTTTTCTTGGTTTTTTTTTTTGCAATAGGCTTGTAGGGATATTAACTTTCCTCTCAAAACTGTTTTTGCTGTGTCCCATAGATTTTGGATTGTTGTGTTTTCATTGTCATTTGTTGCCATGATGTTTTTAATTTCTTCCTTGATTTCTCTGGCAACCCAGTCCTTGTTTTATAGCATGCTGTTTAGTCTCCATGTGTTTGATTTCTTTGGATTATTTTTATTATACTTAATTTCCAGTTTTATGCCACTATGATCTGAGAAGATGCTTTATATGATTTCTATCTTCTTGAATTTGAAGAGACTGTCTATGTCCCAAAATGTGGCCTATCTTTGAGAATGTCCCATGTGTGCTTGAGAAGAATGTATATTCTGTGGCTTTGGGGTGGAATGTTCTGAAGATGTCAATTAATTCCATCTGGTCTAGTGAGTCATTTAGGATTGATATTTCTTTGCTTATTTTTTGTTTAGATGATTTGTCAAAGGGTGACAGTGGGGTATTAAAATCTCCTACTATGATTGTATTGCTATTAATCTCTCCCTTAATGTCCTCCAGCAGTTTTTTTTTTTTTTTTTTATGTATTTGGGTGCTCCCGTATTGGGTGCATATATATTTACCAGGGTTATTTCTTCTTGTTGGATTGCTCCCTTTAGTATTATGAAGTGGCCTTCATTATCTCTTGTTATGTCCTTCACTCTGAGATCTAATTTGTCAGATATAAGTATTGCTACCCCAGCTTTTTTTTTCATTTCCATTTGCCTGGAAAACCTTTTTCCATCCCTTCGCCCTCAGTCTGTGTGCGTCTTTTTTTCTGAGGTGGGTTTCTTATAGACAACAGATGTATGGGTCTTGTTTTCTTATCCAATCTGTTACCCTATGTCTTTTGATTGGAGCATTTAAACCATTTACATTTAATGTTATTAATGATAGTACTCATTTGACGCCATTTTCATTCTATACCCCTGTGTTCCTTCTTCGCTTCCTATTTCTTTATTTTTACAGTAGACCCTTTAGCATTTCTTGCATTGCTGGTTTGGTGGAGATAAATTCCTTTAGTCTTTTTTCTCTGTGAAGCTCCTGATTTCACCTTCAATTTTGATTGATAGCCTTGCTGGGTACAGTATTCTTGGATTCAGCCCCTTTCTTTGCATGACTTTGTATATTTCATCCCATTGCCTTCTGGCCTGATAAGTTTCTGTTGAGAAATCAGTTGTTAGTCTGATGGGGGTTTCTTTATATGTAACTTTCTGTCTCTCTCTGGCTGCTTTTAAGATTCTTACTTTGTCCTTGGTATTTGCCAATTATAATATGTCTTGGCGTCGGTCTTCTGGGATTCATTTTGCTTGGGACTATGCGAGCATCTTGGATTTGTGTGGGGTTTTTTCTTCTCTATCTCAGGAAAGTTTTCTGTCATTATTTCTCGAAATACGTTTTCCATGTCTACCTCCCATGTTTTTCCTTCCGGAATCCCTATTATTCGAATATTGTTTTGTTTTGCATTGTCCCAAAGCTCCCGTTGGCTCTCCTCCTGCTTTTTATTTTATTTTTTTCTCTAGAAGCTGTTCTAATTGGGTATTTTTTTTTCCATCTTGTCTTCTAGCTCACTGATGCGGTCCTCTGCTTATTCTAGTCTGCTCTTGATGCTTTCTATTGAGTTCTTCATGGTAGCGATGTCATTTTTCATTTCTTCTTGAGTCGTCTTCATTTCCTCTTGTTTTTTCTTCATTTACTCTTGGGTCTTACTCATATTGTCAAATTTGTCTTACATTCTTTTTAGCCATCTTATGATCGTTACTCTGAATTCTTGCTCTGGTAGGTTGCTTGTCTCTAATTCGTTTACTTCCTTTTCTGGTGATGCCTGCTTTTCTTTCATTTGTGGGCTGTTTCTTTGTCTCCCCATGGTCTCTCTTTTCAGGATGTCTCTCTCCTGCGTTGATTTATCTCTCCTGCGTTGATTTAAAGGCACAAAATACAACACAACCAGGTACAACACACAAGGAACTGAACAGAAATGTGTTTGCAATATTAATAACTTCCAATAAAGGTAACCACTAGGGAAAGGCAAATTAGGGAATAGGAGAGAAAGAGGAAGAGAAAAAAGAGAAGAGGGAGGGAGCAAAAGAAAAAGATAGGAAAAAGAGTGTAAAAATGAATTTGGGAAACAGGGAGGGGAGAGAGAGAGAGAGAGAGAGAGAGAGAGAGAGAGAGAGAGAGAGAGAGAGAGAGAGAGAGAGAGAGAGAGAGAGAGAAAGGGGGAATAAACTATATATATGGGGAGAGAATTTCAATTGAACAACCACTAACCCCAACAAATGCTGTCAGCAGTACCTGGAGAATAATACAATCTCCAATGTCCCCTAATTTCCAGCACAGGAAGGGAAAACAGAAGTAACAAAATAACAACTAACAAAAACCAATCAAATAAGAAAATACCGAGCAACAGCAACAACAAAAGAATAAGCAAAATACTCTCACTAAAAAGCATAAAAATACAATATAATCAGCATTCCCCCAAAACAGCATCAAAAGAACCGTGAGGAAAACATTTTTTTTTTTTTTTTTTGCTAGTTAATATAGCTCAGAGAGGGGTGTGTATGCACTTGGCACTAGGGATGGGAGATAAGATATATAAGTAGGGTAGAAATTCTAGCAGGGGGGATATGGAGAGAGTAAAGAAATCTAAAGCAGGAAAGGGTTAAGATAAACAGGATAGCAAAAGGGGGAGGGGTAGAAAGAGAATGATGGTGTAAAGGTCGTGGTGAGTTAGGGTTAAACAATGTTAAAGGAGAAATGAAAATAAAATGAAGAACACTAATTCCAATGTAAAATAAAGAGAAAATAAAATGGCACTTAAAAAAATTAAAATAGCAGTATTAAAAATGCTTATTGAACCTAAAAATGTAATAATTAAAAAGTTAAAATCTAGTGAGGAAAAAAAGAAAAAAATTGTTTCTTAAAAGATGCAAAAAATGAAAATTAAAGAAAATAAAAAATAAATTTAGCAAAAAAAAAAATGTGCAGTTGTGTTATTGTATTTGACACGCCCGTTTCTCAGTCTAGCCCATATTGCAGTTCCCTGCGTTCTGCTGCACCTCAGTGGCGCTCCCTTAGTTTCTTGTTTTTTGATAAAATAAAACTAATAATAAACACAGTCAGTTTGTACTCCAGAACTTAGGTGGCAGTGTATGTGGATTAATGTCCCGTCTTTTTGGCTGCTCTAGCCTTCTTTTTCTGTGGCACTCAATACCGTTTTTTTTTGTTTGTTTGTTTATTTATTTTTGCCTGGAAGCTGAATCCTGGATGATTTCTCCCTGCTCTGCTTCTCAGTTTCCAGAAAAGCAGATTCCCCCTGCTGTCTCTTAGGGTCAGCCAATCTGGGTGATCTCTCATTTGAAATTAGAAGCAAAGTGTTGCAGGGGAACCAGCCCAGGTGCGCGATGGGCGAGTCTGCACGCACTTACAAACAGACTGCTTTCCAACTCCTATGTTCTCCCTCCGTGTGGGATCAGAATGGGTTGCTCCCTAGAGAACCCCACTAGTAGCAACCTTGGGGACCCCCTTCCACTCTCTCCAATCACGCCGGCCCCAACAGTGGGGGCTTCTGTGGACGCAGATTTCCAGGGTTCCAGTGCGCGCTTTTTTTTTCTTCTCTGCCGCTTTCGCTTTCACTGTTGGGACACAGACACCCCGCGTTATCTCCAGCAAAATCCAACCTTTCTGTGGAATCCCCATGTCCGCGCCGGTCAGACTGCCCTAATTCTTAACAATCTGTTCCGTGTTCCTTGGTGTTTTAAAGAGTCCCGCTTCTGGGGAAGATTATGCCAAACCCAGCACAGGGTCTTCCCAGGCAGGATTCTTGCTGCAGCCACAGCCTTCTTTCGGCGCAGCTCGGCGTGGGGTGCGCAGCGGCTGCAGTTGCTGCTGGCACAGCGAGGACCCAGATCCCTCACACTATTCCCTGCAAACTCTGACCTTTCTGTGGGTGATTGAAGAACTCCCTTGAATCCACGTGTTTGCTCCGATTGGGGCATCACAGCTGCTCGATGGTCTCCTCTCTGTGGGTTTTCCAGGCCTCAGAGAAGCTCCCCCTTTCCTGGTCAGATGGCGCAGCCTTCCCTCCGGGAGAGCTCGCCGCGGCCGCTGCAGTGCTGGCCGCTCGGCCAGGAAATCCTGTCCAGCGGACCCTTCCTTACCTTCCTTTAGAGTTCCGCTGCCCTTTAGCTGCCAATCAACATTCCTTGAGCGACTCAGATGCTGCTTTTTTCTGTTCTGGGATCAGGGTCAGAACAAGTTCGTCTGTTCGTTCGCCATCTTGTCTCCACCTTCCAAACATAGGTATTTTTAATATTTTTTAAAAGCATACGCAGTGTGGTTTGTGCAGTCACAACTGAAAGTCTACTTTTGTCACTACTTGAATACAGTAAAAGATGTTTCAAAGCTTTATTTCTAGGTCAAGGCTGATAAAATAACACACATTAGAAAAGTGCATTCTTTTTTAATATATTTTATTGATTTTTTACAGAGAGGAAGGGAGAGAGATAGAGAGCTAGAAATGTCGATGAGAGAGAAACATCGACCAGCTGCCTCTTGCACACCCCCTACTGGGGATGTGCCCGCAACCAATGTACATGCCCTTGACTGGAATCAAACCTGGGACCTTTCAGTCCCCAAATCACTACACTTCTAAGACTTTTCTTCAGTGTGAATTTTCTGATGTTGAATGAGTTTAGAACTCTTACTGAAGGACTTCCGACAACGTGTACACTCATATGGCTTTTCTCCATTGTGAACTTGCTGGTGTTTCTTGACATCACACTTATATCTGTAGGACTTATCACATTCACTGCACTTATAAGGCTTTTCTCCAGTGTGAACTCTCTGATGTTGAATCAGTTTAGAACTCTGACTGAAGGACTTGCCACAAGCTGTACACTCATATAGCTTTTCTCCACTGTGAACTCGCTGGTGTCTATTGACATCACACTTATATCTGAAGGACTTCCCACATTCACTACACTTAAAAGGCTTTTCTCCAGTGTGCATTCTCTGATGTTGAATGAGTTTAGAACCATGACTGAAGGACTTCCCACAATATGTACACCAAAATGGATTTTCTCCAGTGTGAACTCGCTGGTGTTTATTGAACTCAGAATTACTTCCAAAGGACTTCCCACATTCACTGCACTTATAAGGCTTTTCTCCAGTGTGAACTCTCTGATGTTGAATCAGTTTAGAACTCTGACTGAAGGACTTGCTACAACCTGTACACTCATATGGCTTTTCTCCAGTGTGAACTCGCTGGTGTATGTTGAAATGAGACTTATATCTGAAGGACTTCCCACATTCACTACACTTGAAACGCTTTTCAACAGTGTGAATCCTCTGATGTTTAATCAGTTTAGAACTATGACTGAAGGACTTCCCACAATATGTACACCAAAATGGATTTTCTCCAGTGTGAACTCTCATATGTTGATTGAGGTTAAAGATTCCTCTGAAAACTTTCCTACAATTGTCACAATCATAAATCAGTTCTCCAGAACAGACACCATGACACTCAACAACTTTCTGTTTCTTGCTGGCAGCTTTTTCACATTCAGCCCACTGGTGATGACTTTTTCCACTGAGATATTCTTGGGAAACCTCACTGCCACTATGTGGCTCCTCAGTGTTCTGAGAGGTCTGGGGCTGGAGGAGCTCTGAGGAAGATTGGACATCTTCCCTAACCTCCCTGTTGTTTGAAGGAACCTCTGATAAATAGAAACTACGCCTGGTAATAAATGAGGGTCTGACCATAGCTTCTTTCCAGGAGATCTCTCCACTGACATCCTTCTGTTGCTGGTGAGGGTTTGCACTGAAACAGCAGTCTCTCACACATGAGTCACTGAAGAAGCATTTGTGTTCAAAGTATTCTGCTTGAAACTCAGTCAGGTGCAAAATATCTTTCAATACTGTGAAACACTGCTTACAGGAATGTGACTTCTGGATTGCTGGAGCTGTCTTAGAAGCCCTGATGGGTGACTCTCCTTGTACAGATACACTCTGATCAGAACAGGCCCTTTCCTCATCCTTTTTATGCCAACAACCTGAAAACAGAAAAAAGGTGAGGAAACGAATGAGGACTGTGGTGATAGGGGGAAGTTCCATTTCAAAAGTGTGTCGCCCATGACACCTGGGCTCCATGCAATTTTCAGATAAGAAGAGATGTGAAGGAAGCATTAATAAGATTATTCTGTGAAGTTCTGGGCCTCTGCATATCATAAAGGAAGGAAGATCACACCAGAAATATGACACAAAGATGGGAAGCACCACATGGAAGAGAGCTAAGACTTCCAGTCCTTTCTTAGGCTAAAAGTGTTCAGTAGAGCTTGCTGCAGGTGAAATAGGCAAGCTCTGCAGAATTTTGCTTATGTCTTATTTCCAGAAAAATTGAATAAATGAGTAGTTGGTGTTTGAAACCTACTTAAGCATGTTTGGGCAATTCATAACACATGTGTTAAAGAATACAGCAGAGGCAGCAATGCCCAGGAGCAGATGATGTAAAAGTGCCATAAAGGTTAGCACAGCCTAAAGCCAGGAAGTCACAGGTGAAATGACATATCAGAAAGAGTACAGTCAGTAAAAGATAAGATAAAAATGTGGTATAGCCAGTGGCACCTGCATCTGAACACTGATGGAAAAGAACTGGTACCTGGTATGAAGGAAGGTCTGACAAGAACAGTACATGGTTCATGCGAGTAAAGACCATAATCTGGCACAGATAGTCACCCAGGAATTTAGCTATGGGAAAGGGGTAGAAATGGAAGCCATGGATCTGAGTATAGTCACCGTCCCAGGAAGAAACAGCAGGTGGGATCAATTAAGCTGTCTGTAAGACCTGACTCCCAGAAACTTCAAGCACTTGCTGAAGCAAGTGTTGTAAGAGAAGTTTGTGGAGTCTATTGCTCTGGGCTTTCCACAGTGCTCAGCACTGGCAGCCATAGCACATTTGGAAAGACAGGAATATTTGCAGAACCCATGGATTGGTTGTGAGAGAGAGTGTGTATGCCTGGAGAATAAAGTAAGAGAGAACATCACCTCAGGACACTAGGAGAGATGTGAAGGTCTTACCTGGAGATGATATAAGAGCAAAAACTTCCAGCATCACATCGCAGTACAGAAGTCTCTGAGCCTCATCAAGGATCCCCCACTCCTCCTGAGAGAAGGCAATGACCACATCCTCAAGGTGCATATCCTGTCATAATGGGGAAAGTTCAGCCATGATCAGACTCTCTTCTAATATTCCAATTCTGTCATATTCTTAACTCACCACATCCATCTGTGAGGGCTACTCCCCACATCAAAGAAGATACCAGGCACTGGTCCCATCAAAGTCAATCTTTCCTTATATTCCGACTGATGCTGTGTATTCCAACAACAACAATGGGAGTTGAGCAGATAGCCTTCTCAATAACAGTGGGTGTAAGGAACTTAGGGTAAAAAGAGCAGTTGCACATAAAGGGAGTGTGAGTGATTTGGCACTGGTCTTGTCGGGTAATATGCGTGTTTTCTCTCAATTTCCCTCCAAGACACAAAAAACATGGCATCACACTTCACCCTTCTGACTCCAAACCCAGATTGCTGAGGCCATTACATTTCACTACAACATTTTTTGTCACATAATTCTCATGCAGCTTCATTCCAAGAGACACAAACTCCCCGGAAATACGAAAAGGCTCTGACAAGGACAGGTTGTTTCCTAATTAGTTTCTTCTTTCAAAATTCTAATTTATTGCCTCTACAATGTATTTCCCCTTTATCGTCTCCCTTCCTCATGCCAGTGGAGGTTTCAAGCTCAGGTGACAATGATGTATGCTATCTCATTCCTACTGATCATGGGGTAGCCCTCAACAAGAAACGGCAGTTGTGTGTGTGTGTGTGTGCGTGCGTGCGCGCGCGCGTGTGTGTAACGTGAGCTCTTCATCTGGCATGTAGAACCACAACTTCTCTTTTCAGGAATTCCCTTAAATTCACCATGTCATACCATCCAGTCCCCACCAGAAATGGACTCACCTTTCTTCCATTTTTTTAAAAAACATATTTTATTGATTTTTTTTACAGAGAGGAAGGGAGAGGGATAGAGAGTTAGAAACATCGATGAGAGAGAAACATCGATCAGCTGCCTCTTGCACATTCCCCACTGGGGATGTGCCTTCAAACAAGGTACATACCCTTGACCGGAATCAAACCTGGGACCCTTCAGTCAGCAGGCTGACACTCTATCCACTTTCATTCTTATGTTAATGTCAGGGCCCTGCAGCCATGAATTCACATACCCTCTCCAAGTGCATAATATTTTTTTCTACCACACCTATCTCACACCTGCACTCCCACATCCTAAGCACCCATAGTCATCTCCTTGGCCTCACACTCATTATTGAGCAGGCATGACCCTGAGAATGCCTAGAAAATTCAATCTGGTGATGTACTACCCATAATCTCATAGCTCACAACCATAGAGGAAGTGTTGTGTCCTGCTCCAAAGGTCTCCATCCCTGATTGTTTTCTTTCCCTCCCACCTCACCTGATGTGAACCACATCAGATCTCAGATACTCAGAGCCCACCTTCACTGTTACTGCACTTGATGTCTCTTCACCAGTCTCAGCCTTTCATCACTTAAATCCCATCACTTGTGGCCCTCTACCCCATGCCCAGTGAGCTCAGAGATGACCACTCACGCCCCTAAGCTATTCCACAAAACCAATGGTAGGTTAACTGCGGCTCTTTGGCCCCTTGAGTTTTTAGCAAAGACCAGTTTAGGAGTGCCCTAATTAAGTCAATAACAATGTGTCTACCTATGTAGTTTAAGTTTAAAGAATTTGGCTCTCAAAGAAATTTCAATCGTTGTACTGTTGATATTTGGCTCTGCTGACTAATGAGTTTGCCAACCACTGCATTAAACTGATTGCAACAACCTAGCCACAGCAATGGTAACAAATAAACAAACAAACAAAAAAACAACAAACCTGGTAAATGTTTAGAGAAGAAAATAAGCACCAACCACAGTCTCATCTTCTTTGAAATACTCTTTGGCATCCAATTCAAAACACACACACACACACACACACAAACAAAAAGGTGATCTACAACTCCTATGTGGTCTATACATTTTCCACTACATTTAAGGCAGTCTTCCTATTGAACTGCCCATCAAGATTCTATTGTAGATGCTCTTGAACTGCTCTCTGAAATACCCTAACAGGCCAGAAAATAAAAGTTTTTGTATCTCCTATGAACAGAACACTTCCTACTATGATTTTCTCCATCTGAGTTGATGATGTTTCCATACATTCAGGTGCTAAATCCAAGCCTTAATTTCAACTCTATTACCTCTCTGTCTCTCTCAACCCCAACATTAGAAAATCCAGGTAGCCACACCTAAATCACCGATCCAGAATGCAACTGCTACTTCCACCTCCACAGCCACCATCATGAGCCAGTTACATCACACGGATCCAATCCATCACAGCTGCTTCCTTCCTAGTCTTTCTTCCTCCTCCTCAAAGGCATATTGTTCAGCATGCTGCAGCCACCAGGAGTCTAATGAGACCTGCTTCAGATCACCTGCCACCACTGCTGCAAATCTGACACATTCCCATCATCTGCAGAGCAGACTCCAAAGTTGTCACAAAGCTCCTCTAGATCTGATTTTCTCCCATTTTTAATAATTCCCTCTATTTATTTTTTAAAGACTTCTTTAAAAAAATATTTTACTAGAGGCCTGGTGCATGAAATTTGTGCATGGGGTGGGGGAGGGGGGTGTCCCTCAACCCAGCCTGCACCCTCTCCAATCTGGGACCTCACAAGGGAAGTCCATCTGCCCGTGGGATCGGGCCTAAATGGGCAGTCAGACATCCCTCTCACAATCCAGGACTGCTGGCTCCCAACTGCTCGCCTGCCTGCCTTCCTGATTGCCCCTAACCACTTCTGCCTGTCAGCCTGATCACCCCCTAACCACTCCCATGCCAGCCTGATTGATGTCTAACTGCTCCCCTGCCAGCCTGTTTGCCCCAACTTCTCTCCTCTGCTCACCTGGTCATCCTTAACTGCCCTCCCTTGCAGGATTGATAGCCTCCAACTGCCCTCCCTTGAAGGCCTGGTCCCTCTCAACTGCCCTCCTTTGCAGGCCGGGTGCCTCCAACTGCCCTCCCCTGCTGGCCATCTTGTGTCCACACGGGGGCAAGATTTTTGACCACATGAAGGCAGCTATCTTGATTTTGTGTGTCAGAGTGAAGGTCAATCTGCATATTACTCTTTTATTAGATAGGATAAAGGCCTGGTGCATGGGTGGGGACCAGCTGGTTTGCCCTGAAGGGTGTCTTGGATCAGGGTGAGGCTTCCCTTGGGGCATGGGTGGTTTGCAGGCCGGCCACAACCCCTGGCGACCCAAGCAGAGGCCCTGGTATCTGGAATTTACCTTCTACAATTGAAACTTTGTAACCCTGAGTGGGGGCCTAGGCTGGCTAGAGCAGGTGGAAAGCTTGGCTTTTTCTGTTGCCTGGGAAACCCAAGCCTCCCTCCTGCTCTCTGTGGCTGTAGCCATCTTGGTTGGGTTTATTTGCATATTCACTCTGATTGGCTGGTGGGTGTAGCTTGTGGCTGTAGTGTAGTGATGGTTCACTTGCATACTACTCTTTTATTAGGTAGGATTGATTTTTTACCGAGAGGAAGGGAGAGGGATAGAGAGTCTAGAAACATTGATGAGAAAAACATCGATCAACTCCTCCTGCACAGTCCCTATTGGGGATGTGCCCGAAACCAAGGTACATGCCCTTGATCAGAATCCAATCTGGGACTCTTCAGTCTGCAGGCCAACACTCTGTCCACTGAGCCAACCTGGTTAGGGCTCCCTCCCTCTTTTTAAAAAGAGGATGCCTGCAAGACTGAACTGGTTTGATCTTCACTCCATGTGTTTACACATTCTGGGAGGATGTCCTACATCTCATTCCTCTAACTGCCAAAATCAAGGAGCACTTCATACAACCCTAGACCTGAACTTAGGATCTGGGCTTAGTGTTTGTTCAAAGTCCCCAGGCCCAAATGCTGGAAGAGTGGCAGGAAAGTCCCAGGACTCCACTATCTCAGAGGCCACAAGAGAGTGAGGCCCTGAAATAAGCTCCACAAACCAGTATCCCTAAGCGATGTTGCATTTGCAGGAACTTGTGGAAAGCAAAGGTCTGTTGAGAGCCTTGCAAACACTGGCAGGATCCATGGACTCTGGCTGCTCAGTATCTTTCCCTAGACCCAGGGCCAGCTGACTGAGAGATGACCACATTATATCAGGGCCTCAGTCCTAAAGGCACACTCTTGCCTAGTTTGCTATCTTTCAAAGGCCTTCTCATTCCTGCCCCCTACTGGTATCCTCTCCCTTCTAGTTTCTTCTTCCTCTGAGCAGTTGGGAAGTTTAGAACCCTACTTCAGATAATGTCCCTCTTTTATTTTCCACCATCGATGGGCCTAGGTTCCTGAGAATGAAACTAAAACTTCTCATGCAATATTTTGCTTTTGTTGTTGTTGCTTGTTTGCCTTTAGATACAAAACAAGCTCAGGATTCCTGAATTATTTCAGCTCAGCCACACCAATCAAAACCTTACAGGGGGCATTGCATGCAGCCTGTCACCCTCTTTCCTTCATACACAATGTATCACCCACAAGTGATTCACTATTCTGGATGTTGTGACCTGGGCTTCAGAACCTGACATGCACCCAAGGATGAAGGTTAAATGTAATGAGGATGAATAGTACTCTGCAAGAAAAACGGAGTCAGGGAAGCACACAGGTCTCAATACTGGCTGTTTCTGCTCAACAAGCTACAGACAAACCATTGCACAAGGGGGCAATGACTCTGATGGCTCATCCTCTTGTAATCCAGCACTGGAGCTTAAGAATGTTAACAGAACAAAGAGCTCAAAATGCCCACCTTGAGAAAGAAGCTGAAAGTAATACCCAAGCCAATCACCATGGGTAAATACACCTGTCCTGAGCTTTCATTGGCTAAACACAGCCATCATTGGGAGCCTTGCCCTTTGGGTAACTTAGTTTTTCTGGCCCAACAGGTGGCATTAAGATCCCAGTCACTGATTGATCATTGCAAACATTGGTACTGGAGCGCCCCAGTGACACTGGGAAATGATAACTTTAGGATTTGGTGGCTGATCCCAGGTTTCTAGGAAGTGCAACTGACCTCTTATTGG